GGAGAGGATTATGTGTCCAAACGACATTACCTGCATCAGTACTAGGACATCCATTGGATCACTATCCTCACAGATTGTTCGTGGGATGAAACCATAGTTGTGCGGGTAAACAACCGATGAGTAAAGCACACGGTCAACCTGCGTTAAAGAGCCTCATGCATTAGTGTCCTCCATGAAAGGCATCAGTTTCACACTAGATGCCAATACCCTAGCAAACACTGATACGAATGTAAACGAACCAACGGTAAATATATAGAGCCCTTGTTTAAATTTCTCCAACTGTAGTGAATAAGCATGGTTCACTAAAGCGGCAACAGATTATCATTTAGGAAAGAAGAGGAAGTGTCTTACTACTATAAGGCCAGTTGTCTTGTCGAGCTCATACTTAACCTTGCTGCCTTTGCCAATTTCAACAACCTACCACAGAAATGATCATTTAGAATCGTACGCAAGTGTTGTAACAGAATCTTGAGCTAAATATACAACTTTTTTCATTTACGTTTAAATAAGTGGGGAAGATTATGCAAGTCATCATCCACTGATAGAAGCATTACACAATCTATTCTAAAAGGTCTCATGCACGGCAATTCACATGCAACACATCCATGACTTACATGTTGGATTTGTTGAAGGGTCCTTTACTAAAAGATCAGAACAATAAAAAGACTAACAGAAAGTTAGAAACAATGACTCACACAGTTGAAAACTGCTGGTGCACCAGGTCCTGCGTAGACGAAAACATCAAGCATTATTAACCAAACATGTAAAGTATATGTCAAATTTTACTCACACAGTTGAACTCTTGAATAACAGTCTCTCATGCACAACACACTGAAGTGCAATACTCACACACACAACAGAATCTAAGCTTCTCTTAGCTGCTTACATTCATGCACAATGTACATATCCTCACCTCACTCTCTGCTACTACTACTCCACACACACTAAAGTAACACCTAACACATGGCACGTCACTTTCTTACGTGGTGTTACACGAGAGTCCAACTAACTTTGCTGACTTAAAGAAATGCTCAGGCGATCAAAATTAGAGAGAATTTTAATATTAAATGTCAAAAAGCCAACAAATTTTACCAATCTCTAAGTCATGCCAGGGATGAGCAGCAACAGATCTCCTTGACATTGAAGAAAGGATTCTTTCATTGAGTTTAACGTGAGAAGACCCCGACTTCTTTCCACTCCCTTCTGCATCATTGTTAGCCATGTTCACCCTTTCCACTAACCTTGAAAACAGAAAGAAGACAAAAACAACATAACCACATCATCTTCTTGAACAAATCATATTCACCCACTAACCAATTACACAAACACAGTTAATTTCACCGAGTCGAAAACATGGCAAAGGACTAATAAGAGCAGAAATATGATCTGTTAATAACACAAATGGGTTTTCTGTCAACATCAAGGGGGCAACTAAAATTGGAGATTTCCTCTATAAATGATGGGATTGAAAATTTTCACTCAAATAATATACTCATCGCATGCAACAGATTACCTCCGATTAAAATCACAGAAATGAAAGAAATCGAATCAAGAAAAAACATAATCACACAACAATTACACGATGATCATCAAGATTAACCAAAGAACCAAGAAGTTGAAGTGTTCATGCAAATTGTACACTCAAAACAGACCCAGAGAAAGAAACCCACATGCCAACAATTACGGTTCCAAATCCAAAACCCCATCAAAATAAATCAGGTAATCAAGAATCTTCATCTAATTTTCTTCAGTTTAACACAAAACAGAGCGTACAATCCATAAACTAAACCGTTAATCAAAGACACAGAGAGAGAGAGGAGACGAAGTCAACCATTGCAGAGGCCACTGGAAAGGGAGGAGAAGAACTTACAGTTGCAGAGCAGCAGAAAAAATGGATTCTAGAATTTGTGCGAGAAAATTGGAAAGGTACCGTGAGAGCTGTGAGCTTAATTTATAAGGAGGAGGACGAAGACGCTTTTTGTCAACTTCTTGCAGCGGTCAGTCAAAATGTCAATGGGAGCCGTTGGATTGTAAAGGAGTCAATCAGACGGCTGATATTTCGGTTACGCGTCAGGAAATTAGTTCCCAGGTCAGCAACTTTGGCGCAAAGTATTTAGCATTTTGTCGGGAAAGGATCATCATTTCCATCAAATCCACCTAATCAATCAATTTGAACATTTGAAATTTGATTCAATAACTGCAAATAGGAGTTTTTTTTAGCATTTAAGTTTGAATAACATTTCTGTCATTTATCATAATTTATAGGGAATTTTAATGAAAAGTTCATTGTACTGTTCACTTAAAAAAATCACATTTTACCCTATTCATGGTACTATTCATTTTACCCTTTATTTTGTCCTTATTGTTAAAACGTAAAATTTTCAAATATTTTTCATTAGTTTTCCTTAATCCATAAACTAGGAATATTCCCAGTTTTATTATTTCATATTTTCAACCCTCCAATTTTCATCGGTATATTCCTCTTCTATCCCTTTCGAGTGGCTGCCATACTACGAAGATTGGTGACATCAAATCAGTCAAATCAGTCAAACAATTTTTTTTTTGGCATGACCATAAAAATGTTAATAAGGACGACGTTTGGTCCCATTTGCACATGTCATTGTTAACTTAAAAATGGAATTTAGGTTGGTTGCGTTGACGGATCTACATAAGAGCGAGTGAATAATACTATACTTGTGTGTTTTCGCTCTCGATGATGAGTTTTTATGGCTGTTATAGGGCCAACTTGTTGATCAAAATTCCTAAGATGATTACAATAGAGTATGGAGGACAAAATGGTGTGAACTTGGGCTACATCTTGCCTCCAACACAAACATTTCCTCGATCCGTCACTATGGGAAGATCATTTATTTACAACACTCGTTTGTATTCTTGTCTTTAATTACTATGATGCTAAATGCTTAGTATAGATGAATTCGATAATTTCATAAAGAGCTTGTAGCTCAAACTTTTAGAGCGTTTACTCCTTTACTCGAATTCTGTTGTTCAAATTCGAAGAGAGAGAAAAGATGAATTTTCATTATTTTGAAAGCCCTATTACGTGAGCCTAGGCCTCATTGGGTTAAATTGGGCTTGTTTGACCCGGCCCGTTATTAGGCCTGCCCACGAAGCTGGACGCGGGTAAGATCGACCTCCCAGATCTTTATGAACTAAAGGAGACCACAAGATCAAATCGCGGAGTGGCAGCAGTCGTAAATTCATCGTCTTTCTCGTTTCGTCCGCTTCATCGAAACCCTAACTCAATCGCCTGGTAATTTCCTCTCTCGAAGATCCTACTTTCATCTGTGCTTGATTTATCTTAGTCCGCAGTTAATTAATTTAATTTGTTCACTCATTTATGCACAAGAATAATCTGTAGCCCCCTGTTTGTTTCCCGAGAAAATGGGATAGAAAATTTCGATTCATACATTTTTTTTCCCTCAGTTATGCTATTCTATGTTGAGCAAACGAAGTAGCTTGATTAGTTAGGTCAGTTTCCAAAAATGAAAAAGAGAGTAATTTTTGTTGCAATTTTTTGGTAGAATCCGAATTAGATGGAGGGAATTGGAAGTGAGGGCGGAGCAGCAGCGGCGCCACTGGCCCAATGGCGGAGCAATTTTGCGAGAGCATTCCAGTACTATTTGGATCGGTCAACGCCTCACACTGTGAATAGATGGCTAGGAACCCTAGTTTTGGCTATGATTTACATTCTGCGTGTGTACTATGTTCAGGGGTTCTATGTTGTCTCCTATGGTCTGGGGATCTACGTTTTGAATCTCTTGATCGGTTTCTTCTCGCCCAAGGTTGACCCGGAGCTTGAGGCCTTGGATGGGGCTTCATTGCCAACAAGTGGTTCTGATGAGTTTAAGCCTTTTGTTCGCCGCCTTCCCGAGTTTAAGTTCTGGTAAGTTTCATTCATTCTTTTGCTTCATATGTGCAATGATGGTATCTAAACAATAGTATTGTGTGGTCCGGTGTGATTTATTATGTTTGGGGTTTTCTTCATTTTGATGGAAACCCCCCTTTCCATATGTTGGGCATGTTAAAGGATATGTGAATGTATCTTGTAGTAGTAATAAATGCTTCGAGTGTCTTCTAATTATGCCATATCTGCGTGCTATTTTTCGTGTGTATTTGGTTCAACTTACGTAGAAATGTATGAAAACCATATATTTCCCTCTTTACAGAAGGGTTTTCATGGGTTTTACTGTAATGGTAGAAAACTGTGTTTGAATAATATCTCAGGAGTAATTCTTAACTACTGAAGGATGGTTTTGCAGTTGAAGTATCGGTACGGCTTATAGAGTTATAGGCATGAGGTTATTTGTGTTATTAAATTCCTTGAGTGACTGAGTCAACAGGGTGTTTATCCCTTGGAGTATCAGTTAGCATAAATCAATACGTGAATTTCAGATTTCGTGCTGCCATCTGATTCATGTGTATTGGAATTATACCAGCCGACTGGTTCAATACCTAGTTTCATGACTAAACTGGCTCACCTCACAAAATGAAAAGCAGCAATGAAGTTGAATAGTCTCTAATTCTTAATATCACACTTGCTGTAAAATCTCGGAGAGTTCTGCAAGGATGTTGTGTACGACCTTTTTATTATCATGGAAAATGAATGTGTTCAATGTTTTTTAGGTATTCCATCACAAAGGCATTCGTTATTGCATTTATCATGACCTTTATTTCTCTGCTGGACGTACCTGTTTTCTGGCCAATACTGCTATGCTACTGGATTGTTCTGTTTGTCCTCACAATGAAAAGGCAGATCCTACACATGATCAAATACAAATATGTTCCATTTGATATCGGAAAAAGGGTGAGTAAATATATTCTCATTCTTTCTCCCCATCTTTTTGGTTGGCCCTCATAAGTACACGGTGAGTCATTCCTTACCATGATCGGAAACTAATTATTATGCTGTCCCCATTTGTTCTTGCAGCGATACACTGGAAAGAAGTAGTCTGAATGGGAGCGGCTTTTCTACAAATCTGAAATGAAATGCTGCCGATTTGTAGAACCTTGAGTGAAAGCAAAACGATAAATTTGGGATCTTAAGTTTGTTTTGAAGGTAATGTTCCCTCAGTATATTTGAACATGTGCTAGCCTCTCTAGTTTAGAAGCGGATGACAGGTATTGTCAGGATGCCCTAATAGTTAAACTTCCATAGCCTAATCAAAGTTCAAGTTGCATTCGTTTTTCGTTAAACATTGCCTAGCAGATTAAAATATACATTGTTGAAGACACAGCTAACAGCAGTCTATGTTATATTGTCTGTGTGTTGCATGAACATGTCGTGTCGGGGGCATGAACCCAGTGTATTCGTTGCATGTAAAGCATGAGAAGATGTTCCATGTTCAGATGTGTGTGTTTACATTCTTTCATACTAAAATATTGTTCACATGTTTTTCGTGTTCATGTTAAAAGAAATACGTAAAGACCGAACCAAGAATGTGTAAGCTTGTTTTATTTTATTTTTCGTGTAAACAAAGAGAATGCATGCCTTTGTGCTATATCTAAATCTTTGTGATCATCTTGACCCTAGGAAAAAAGCTTCAGGGCTGTCCGTCTCTGTCTCATTCTCTTTTTTTCCGAGTATTAGACTGCCGTGACACAATCTTGATAAAAACCTATACATAGACGGAAAGAAACGATCAACTCTCGACGAGAGTATATAAACTACACGTGCTGCCGGTTGTTGGAACTCTTCCGGCATATGCTCATGAACTTGGCCACAAATTCTGCATAAACGATTAACACATAAACTTACTACAAAACTGGACTCAGTGCTCAAATTATTGATTCCTTATATAATTGGATGAAGGATTTTGGTGGCTTGCATATGTTACCTTCTAGTTTCAGTAACGCACTCGCTCCTGCTGGGAGTCTTTTCTCCTGCAAGGACAACATTTGAGTCAGTTCATCTTCTCCGAGAGCCGAAAGAGGGAATGAGGTAGAGAACTTACATAATAAGCATGCCAGTAATAGAGTTCCCTCTTAGAACTAGCATCCACTCCCTTTAGGAACTGTTCCACAAGCTTCTGCATTTCGGAAAATGAAAACTCTGTCACGAAATTATATTTTGGTGACTATGTATATACGAACAAGAAGTTTGCGGGATCGATACGGTACCAGTAGAATCAGTTTCGGATGTACAAAATCAATAAGAAGCTTTTGAAACTTTCCCCGGATGAAAAATAGTCTGACACAAGATTAATACGGAAAATCAATTCAAACATTGCGGGATGCTGTTAGATGAACGGTGTAACCGAGTTAGATGTGAAATCCCTCGTGGGTTTCACATCCGTCAATGATTGTGAGATTCACATCATTCAACGGATGCCAGTGAAATGATTACCTCTTAGGTGACGGATCAGCTAGGATTTCGGAAGCAAGTTCTTGCACCACCTCTTCCCATCCAAGTGGAATTGGTTGTTCTTCTCCAAAAGGATAGCTGCATAGGCAAAGCTCCATGTAAGTTGACTTTACAACAACAAAGTCAAAATTTCCAACAATTTATTTGCAATATGTTCTCACTTATGTGCTTTGCATGCTTCAAGACCCATGATCGCTTTTCTCAGATTCTGCTTTGATTTATTTGCAATCTTATTGGCAAGGCTCATAGGTAGGTCAAATTCCTCTTTCCTGGCTATCTGAATAAGAACTTCCATGATCTGGCAAAGAGAAAAGTAAACTATAAGCTGACGTGCGCGTAGCCACGTTGGCCCATAAAGATGCCCCCCTCCCCCCACATGCACCTAACCCGAGTTCTAATTCCCCCTCCGCAATATAGATTAGTTAAGATAGAATATCGCTTGTATCAGAAAAGAGAAAAACTTAATGCATCATCAATAGTCAAAAGAGCATTTTGGGAACCCTAAATCCCAATGTGATACGTACTTCATGAGTCACAGGAGCATCAACCTTGATGACTTTGCACCGGTTTTTCACCGATTCAATGACACCGGAGTCATTTTCGCAGCAAAGTATGAGCTTACACGCATCCGAGTAACAGTCCATGATCCATTTGATCAAGTGCTGAATGTGCTCTGCTTTGTCGACACCATAAAGAACCATCACTGGTATATAAAAAGGAAGGAGAAGAGAACCATGTTAGGGTTTTGAGAGAAATAGGTCAAAAGTGTGCAAAGGGGATTTCTGGGTGTGTTGAGAGAATTTTGACCTTTATGATTTGCCTTGAAATTTATAGAGCTGACTTCAGGAGCAAGTTCATTGTCATTGTTTATTTCTCTGACCAAACCCATTAGGGCATATCTGGCATTTGGTTCCAACTGTACATTGAGCTCCACATGGTGAGGGCTGGATGTCAATGGAACCACCAGTTGCATTGTCCTTTGTTCCTGTTAGCATTGGTTTGTGTAAGAGAAATTTGAAAACGCTCATCCAATACAGATAAATCACAGTTTGACACGTCCACATAAACTTTATTGAGTTTGATAAGTTATTTACGCATAAGTGTTAGTGTGTGATTTTAAAGTAAGGAGGAACGACTCTTTTACTGTAAGAACATTATTTCACAAAATGTAAGGCGTTATTTCTATCTCAAATGTCTATTTCACAAGAGAATACCTGAACCTGGAAGTATCTCAAATCATGAGATATCTGCAGGGAGGAAACAAAAGGGAAAGATGATCAGTTCAGTCAATTTACATGGAAAAAGATTTGAACTTTGTTGTTGATGAAAACAAACGTACTTCCCAACTTGCATCACCGTAAACTTCTCGTAGATACGCCATTGTTAGAGCTTTCTTCCCAGAACCAGTTGGTCCGGTAAGCAAAATATGTGGACTGACGTTATCAATCACCTACATATTCAACGGAGCATGAGCAAATGGAAGAAATACGCACAAATGGAACTGGTTCCGAGAAAACGATTTACAACGTATAAGAAAATTACTCACAAGTTGCTTGAGAACTTGAGCTTCTTGCTTGTGGCAAGTGAATCCATTCAACGAAGTAGGTCTATGCTTATCAGCCCACAACTGCCTGAGACTCTCTTCCACGAACGCCTTCTCGATGAATGCAGCCTCATTGAACGTGCTACGCTCAGGTGATAATTTTTTGTTCTTGCAAGAACTCTTTCTCATACACGAAAACCATGCCTGACTTTCGCTCTTCCTCCTATTATCCGTGAACTTCCTCATGCTGGCGGTTGTTGTCCTGCTTGCATCACTCCTCATGCTGCTAGCCATGCTCAGCCTCCCGCTGCTCTGCCTGCTCACCGCAGAGCTGGAAGTGGTTGTGGTTGTCTGTGACAAACCATACGAAGATGAAAGTCCGCGGACATTGACATCGTGACCAAAGTTGCCATTTGATCGAGTAGTACTTCTCTGTTGTGAGGCGGCAGAGGAGACCATTTTCGGTTTTTGTAAGTGATTTTGAGGCAATGCCACGACATTGCATTCTCCAGAGAAAAAGATGTCACCTGGTGCAATAGAAACTGAGGTTTCGTAAATCGGAGCAGCTTTGTTATTCAAAATGGGATCTGGAGAAGTTCTAGCAAGCTTTGCATGAGCAAGCAGTTCATTGATTTCGCTGACGGATGGTGTGCTCACTTGCCCTGGCTTCTGGTGAGCCATGCTTTTGGACAATGGTGAGGGTGTTCTCTCCCCTTTTGTAGGCGTGATTGAACGATTGCTTTGCTGGTCAGTTTCTCTCAGTGATCTATGCCGCAGAGCAGCTGCTGATCTTCTGCTGTTCGTTCTTTTATGATGTTGGTTTCTGTTTGAGTCTACAATCTCATCACCATCGTTGTTCAAATCGCGCTCTTCTTGGTCTGCTTGAAAAGGTGAAACATGTCTGCTGCGCTCGGATTTTCCCAAGGGGCTGATGTTCCTACGAATATCAGAACCCGCCATTGGCAAAGTTCGAGCATTGCTGTCACCTCTTCCAGGCTTGTAGGGCGACTTGCTGTTGGTTCTTTTTCGAACTGGGCTTACCACTGAGGTAGTTCTTGGAGTAGGGCCGTCGTATTCAATCCTGGAAGAATGTCTCCTGCTCTGCCTCAAAGGGCTGATCTTTCTTCCCAAATCCAACTCTGGTTTTGCCCCTCCAGATTCATATCCTCCATTAGGCCATTTGTTTCCGCCGTGCCACGGGCTATCTAGGATGTCTGTCTCGGCATCAGATGGCTCATATCCACTCCTCCTTTGCTTCACCGGCGTCAGAGAATTCCTCCTGTGTCTTGACCCATTATTCTCCATTTTTAACTGACCAAATTGAGGCAACGATTAGAAAGTGACTCAAATCCTTACAAGCCCTTGCAAGGTTTCTTAACTTGCCGATAAAGTGGTCAGGCTCAGCAAGTGCGGCATCAACGACAGGGAAAACAACCCAGATCACCAGCTAAGCCCCCCAAATGACCGCCAAATTGAGCACCAAGAGCTTACAACAAAACCCAATTGAACACAAGGCCGGAGTCAAAGGGTTGATTCAGAAGCACAAGAAATTCGAGAAGCGAAAAACATGAACTTATTAAAACAAAAGGAGACAATGGGAAGAGCAAACAAAAGGGTGTCTTAGGAATCTGAGGAGGGAATGCTTAAAACCTGCGGATCCGTTGCTTACAAAGAAGTTGAACAGAAGCCATTGATGATGTTAACTATGTCGATGTCTATGCTGTGAGTGTTAAGTTTACAGTTGTAATAAAAAAAAGAGAGAGAAAAAAAGTAAACCTAGTGTTTCTGAAATTTCTAAGCTCATGTTTTTGTCTTTGTCTTGTCTGTTTTTATGGGACTATAAGGTTGCAGCCTTCCGGCAACGGGCCGTTTGAAGTCTTAGGAATCTCATCCGCGTAACAAGTTGTCGCTTTGTCTCCTACTAAATGAACGATAAGTCGATAACACTGTCATGGACGGGTTATAGAATGAATGGACGAAAAGTTTATACTTTTAAGATATAAGGTTAATCAATATACATTTGTTACGTCAATGTATTTTCTTGAGCTACAAGTCAATGTATTTTCTGGTTTATCGCACTCTAAAAGCTTCTTACTTGTGGCTCAAGAAGTGCACAAAACTCACTCATCACTCTCTCCTTGTTTAACTCTTCCACCAAAAGAAGCTTTAAAACTCCTTTCTGCAACGAAGAAACGCTTCCACGAACATAAAAAGCTCAGAAATGGAGCCAGATACACAAAGGAAAGCTAACCTCAAGAAGTAATTGATATATCGAATTTACAATTTTACATTCGCAAAGTATTAATCCTCGAATCAAACATGAGGGGTGGTGCTACATACTTCTTGTTCGGACTGTTTGGAGAGAGGTTTTGAGTGGCGAAGTTGATAACCAATCTAATAAAGCCGTTTTGACAAGCTCTGGAACTTCATCGTGTGGGCAGTGCCCGGCCTGCAGACTTACCAAAGTTGTATTTGGATAAAATGCTTTGATGGTGTTAGCCTTGGCAGGACCTACCCACGGATCCAAGTCCCCCCAGACCAACAACAGCGGACAAGACATCTTGCTTGCTTAAGACACTGTCAAGAGTATAATTGGTCTGGTTTCTCATGAACCCGGTCATCAATCTGTGCAAAACAATCAAGAAAACATCATACATGCACGAATCAGACATCAATTTTCATGACCAAATCTTCAAGATATCACTAGTCTCGTTATCCGTTTTCAGGGGATCTTTATTACAGAACAGATCTACCTGTAAAAGACTTCTCCAGCGTTCGGGTCAGCTGCTGGCATTACTATGGACTCCACCAGATAGTCATCCGCATTGGCGGTGTTTTTATACACCTGTGTTGGCAAAAATAAGTATTTAAAACACATCGTAATAAAACTTTGTTACGAATTTGGGAGGCTTTGTACAGTGATTGGAACATCATGGGGAATTGGGCGTTGGGATGAAGGTGGCGTCCTATCTGCGAGATAAGTTTCAATAAGGTTGACATTACGCTCAGACTACACGGAAAAGCTTAGAAACTAGAAAGTGACTTGCGCTCTTTAAGACGGATTCAAAACGTGCTGGTTGCTTTGCTTGCCAGAACAAAAAATCCAAGCACCACCCGCTGGAAAACTTCCTTCAGGGGCTTTAGGATGAACTTCTGCAGGGCTGTTTCCTCCCGAGACTTCTCGGCCTCACTGTTAGGATTTCCAAACTGCCCTGCAGAATTCAGGAGTGCAACTCCAACTACTCGCTCGGGCAACCCAGCAGCTGCAACCAAAGCAGTAAAACCTCCAAGACTGAATTTACGGTGAGCCATATAATCATTATCTCAAAAGCCATCTCAAAAGAAAACATGAGATACCCTTCTTAATCGGAAAAGTTACCCTTCTTAATCAGAAAAGTTAGGAAAACCTTGATCAAGTTTTATGCCCGTAAATTTAGAAAACATTACTTGATGGTTCAAAAGCACGATCATCCCCGTTCACGAGTCTTTTTCTGTAATGTAGTAACAGATGAATTATTAAAGATGCAGTATGTAACCAATCAAAGTTCAGATTACCTGTTTCCAACTAAAACTGTCGGTTCTTTCACAATCTCCTTCAAGAAATCCACCACCTGATCTCTCCAAACCAATGCATCATAGTCAACAAGTGCTTTCTCACTCCATCCGAACCCCAGCAAGTCTATAGCATAAACCTTATATTTTTGGCCAACTCTGGAATATTGTACCTGTAACATGGGAAGAAAACAAAAACTTATCGGCTTTAAAGTATACACGCAAAATCACATGGTTAAAAGAAATCCAAACCTCCTGCAACTCAAAATATGTTGACAACAACTGGGTTCTAATCACAAAAGCAAAGAAAGGAAAGCTCCCTCGGTTTCTTGAAATTTCGTATTTGATCTGATTCTTAATCTTAAAGCTCTCACTCTCCGTTTATAGGCTGAACACCAACTCCCCACACGGTGGATGGAACTTAGAGGAACTTGCAAACGACCACAAGTAAATGTAAACAAATAAAACTGAAGGGAAAAACAGAAGGTGGTGGGCACAAAGCAGCAAACCTCCAGTGAAATGCAGAAGCACCAAAACCATGAATAATAAGAACAACCGGAGGCCCTTCTCCTTGTACTACATAATGTATTTTGTGACCCCTCCATGTCCAAAAATTGCACCCCTCCGGCTTACATTCCAGTCTTTTAACACCTAATCCAAAACCCTTTTGCCTAAAAGCAGGAAATATTGCAAAGAAAACATGAACTAAGATGGTAAGTAAAGAGATTAACCTTGAACTGGCTGAGCAGCCAAAGAAAAACCCATGACTGGGAGTCCTGCAGCTGCAACTCCTGCAAAAGCAAAACCCATCCTGCTCATTCCACATTTGCTTCCTTCCAAGTGCAAGCAACATTCAGTGGTCGGTACAGTACCCAGAAAAAGACATTTCAAACTTCTTATTTTCGAGAACTCGAAATTCTAAACTACTCTAATTTACGACCATAACTAAAACTCGGGTGCACGAGACTGACTTACTGACCAACTAGTTTAACCCACGTCTGCAAAATCGAAACTTGATTGAATTAAATGCAAAGATGGAGTGATTGAACTTACTGTGGCAATTATATGGTCTTGTGGGGCCAATGAACCTGCTTTCATGAATTAGTATGGACGACGACATCGCAGTGGCTATGAAAACCTCTCAAATTTGAGCTGTAATTTGTAGAGTTTTGAGCTTTTGCATCTCTCTGGTTGGTGTACGTTTTGCGTTGTGGAGCACTGGAGGACGTCAGCTCGGGTGATTAAACGGTCTGTCGTTTTTCTTCCTGGGTCAACGACGTCGTTCTTTTCAATAATCTCCAGGCCATCACCGACAGTCGTGCTTCTTCTTCGTCTGCAACTCAACAGCTCCCAACCGAAAATTTTTCATTTGCGCCATGGAAACTCCGGCGAGAATTCTCAGCCTCAACCTCCAGCTCTTCGCCAGAACGACACCGTCCGCCCTCGCTTTCTCTCCCAAACTCCACAGACCCGCGAAGCCCTTGCCTACATTTCACACTCTCGCTCGAAACAGCGCCGTCAAAAGAACCCCCTTTTCTCTTTCGCTCGCGCAGCCGCACTCCTCGTTCTCCTTCAATCCGAATCCCTTCAAATCCCTCCCCCTTTCTCTCTCCTCCCTGTCGCCGTTCAGCAGCTTCAACCACTCTCTCTCACCCTCAAACGACGGCGTTTCCACCTGGAACCGGGCGTTCCACGGCGGGATTAACGGAAATGTGGGTTCTTTCGGGACCCACAACCGTGAAGTGACGGTGGTGTTGCTAGGCTGGCTCGGGGCCAAGACGAAGCACCTAAAGAGGTACGTGGAGTGGTACAACTCCAGAGGCATTCACGCCGTGACCTTCGTCGTTGATCCGAGGGAGGTTCTCTGGTTTGATTTGGGCCGCCGGGTCGAAAATCGGGTTTCGGACTTGGCCCGGGATCTCGCTTCGTGGCTGGAGGAGGGCGGAGAAAGGTGCTTGCTTTTCCACACCTTCAGCAACACGGGTTGGTTTGTGTAGGTAGTCTTTGTTTGAATGAATGTGATTGATTTGTGTTACTGCTTTCATGGATTGTCAATTCCCGGGTTTTCGGAGTTTGCTTATAGCGGTTAGTTTGTTGCAGGTATGGCGCCATTCTTGAAATTCTGCAGGGGAGGAAAGACCTGATGGAGAAGATTAAAGGGTGTGTTGTTGATTCAGGAGCAGCTGAACCGTTTAATCCTAAGGTTTTGTTGATCATGGTTTATCGGATTTTTAAGTATCGATTGATTGATGTCGAATAACTAAAGAACGTGTCATGAGAATTGGATGAATTTGTTTGCTTAGATTGAATATATGATGTGCTTTTGATTGGATTCCCTAGTTAGTGGACTCTGAATTGACTTGCTGCTCATTAGACTGCTGCAACTTATCACCTTGCAATGCAGATTCTGAATTGTTTGTTGCGTTTTGATCGAATCTTCAATGTAAATTAGTTGAAGCCAAGTAATGTTTATGAATCTAGTTGGCCAAATATGTTGCTTTTTATCGATTTATGTTTAGTTTTATGGTTTTGCATAAATGTGAGTTCAGCTTGAGCAATATGTGTTTCGAATTCATAACATCATTGCATCACATTTCTTTATTTGGTCAAATGTCGGTGTCAAGTTCCACTCCAGATTTTAGAATCCAAAATTGGTGTCGTGCTTAGTAGTATTGCGTCTGTTGTGTACTTGGTACTGTGCAAATGATTACCTTCTTTTAACCTTGACAGGTGTGGGCAGCAGGGTTTTCTGCTGCGATTTTGAAGAAGCACAGCTCTTTAACAAGCTCTGCGGTTGAGGCTAGAGATTTAAATGAGTCGGAAGATGCAGCAAGCTTATCAAAGCTGCAAGAAGAAAAGCCTCCGCTAGTGGAAGCCGTGGTTCTACTGATGTTAGAGAAGCTGTTTTCGGTTCTTCTAAAGTTTCCTGATGTGGATAAGTAAGCTGTTTTTTTATTTAAACGCTTGTAAATCTTAGATGATATATAAATGGGCAGAACATTTCATATGAAAGGTATATGATTGACTTTTGTATTGTTTTCTTTCAGGAGGTTAACGAAGGTAGTTTCCATTCTTTCGGAAAACACTCCTTATTGCCCGCAACTTTACCTATATAGCACTGCCGATAAAGTCGTTCCACACCAGTCAGTCGAGTTGTTCATGGCGGAGCAACAGCGGAAGGGTAGAATTGTAAGGTCCTTCAATTTCGGCACAACACCTCATGTGGATCACTTCAGGAATTTCCCCGACATATACTGTTCAGAGCTTGACAGTTTCTTGAAAGATTGTTTAACTACAGTTGTGACGACGTGAACTCTGCAAATGCAGATTGTTGTGTAGAAGTCATTCGATTTAAAGAACGGCTGGTGTGTTCTCAATAGGAACACGTCCGAGGTTATAAATGTGTCGATGAGTTTAGTTCTCACGCACCAAATGCCAATAATTTTGTAGTCTATTAGATCACAGGGCTGGAAGGACAGTCTAAGCTGTGTTTAGCGTACCAATGGGAGTGAGCGTTTAATTTTTGCTCAAGTTAAAAGAACTCAATGTCCATGTTATCTAATGCTTCTTTTGAACATTTCATATCTTACTGCTTCATAGCCTTCATTCATGCTTGCATTGTTAGAGTTTCAGTGGATTTATTTTTTGACTAACCGATATTCTAATCTACTCAATTTACGAGTTAGATGATTGGATTGGGCGCAAGGAGGCATGCACATGCAGCATGACCAGTTGGCCTAACTCACGTCTGCATAACAAAAGTAGATTTGGAATGACAATTCAACCTTTTACTACTAGTTTGTTGACGTAAGGTCGGGGCATTTAACCGAGGTTATGCATTAAACTCTCTCTTCCTGTAGCTCAATCTTTCCGTAGCTCAAGTAGTTAAGAGAACTTAGAGCTGCTAACCAAAATTTGAAAACCCAGCCCATATATAAGCAAAATGTCCAGATTCATTTTGACTTTATAGGTGAGTGGGTGTACTTTACCTAATACTTCTTATTAAACAATTTAGATTTTTAAAATTTGATCAAACGTCTACAAATAGGGATATATTCTAAAAATTATAATAATTTTAACCGTTTGATCAAATTTTAAAAGTCTGAATTGTTTAATGAGATGAATTAGGTTGAAGGGATCCGGATCCCTTTCCTCAGCCGTTTTCTGAAAAGGGATCCTAAAAAAAGAAATGTTTGTCGTTTAATAATAACCGGAAAGAATAACGACTCTTTCGATCTTGCTTCTGCAGTTCGGAGTCGCGCGTCAAAGATGGCGGCTTTGGAGGATTCGCTGGTGAGCTCCAAGCTCTCTCCCCCGAATACATACGGAGCCGTCGTTCTCGGCGGCACCTTCGACCGATTACACGACGGCCATCGCCTGTTTCTCAAGGTCTGTTTCTTCATTTCTGTCTTTCTTTTTTCTCTTATATGTGAATTTTAAGATTAATGGTTTTGATGGAAATGGAAGCAGGCGGCGGCGGAGCTGGCAAGGGATCGGATTGTGGTCGGAATTTGCGACGGACCCATGTTAACTAACAAGCAGGTTTTTTATTTATTTATTTAATTTTTTTTTTCATTCATCATTCGGATTTTCCGAATTTTGTGGATTTAATTCGAACTGGTTGAGTTGGCTTTAGTATTGATTTTCCAGAAAGGCTGTAAATTTAATGTAATTATAGTCTGAAAGGCAACATAGTTTTAGTTGATAACTTGATAAGGTAGATTTCGATGGTTAATGTTGCGGTTATATGGCAGTTTGCTGATCTGATACAAACCTTCGAAGAAAGGAAGCGTAGTGTTGAGAATTTCATCAAGGTATTATGCTCCATGAATTTGTTTATATTGCGATTCGATTAGTTTGTATTGAAAAAAAAAGAGATTTGCATTTGCATTTTTAGTAGAAATGGTTTGATGAACTTTCGGATGTATAAAATTAAGAAAGTATGGTGGATTTCAGATACTCGATGGACAATACTGTGCTATAGTTCACTTGGAGAAATTATCTTCTCCATCCGTAAGAAAAAAGTATTGCAATGCAGCTCATTCTGTTGTAGCTGTGGTTGTGGGGGTTCGAACATGTTCATTTGTTCCGCCACCATATATCCATACCCGCTTTCATCTTTTTACATCTCAATTTCAGGGTGACCTTTGCTAGTATTCCAGTTTCGGTAAAGGTTAGGGAAAGTGGATTAGGTGGCAGTACATATGGACCATCAACCTTGCAATCTCAGGGGGGATATTGCATTCAACAATTTCTGTATCGTTTCCTGCAGCATTGTTGTGTCATAGAAAATGTGTTCTTTCTTATGTATTAATAACGATATTTTCAGTCCTCAATTTCCTGCATGTATTTGCACAGTCTATCAAGCCGGGGCTGGTAGTGCAAGCTGAACCTATTACGGACCCGTATGGCCCCTCAATAGTTGATGAGAATCTGGAGGCAATTGTTGTCAGGTTTGTTACAGATTTACATCTTTTTCTTTGGTCTTTACTAGCATTTCAATTTCGTTATAATGTTGTCGAGTCGATCTTTATCAACATGAACTTGTAAAGCTGTCAACCTCTTCTTCGCTTCACTCTTGAAGTCCATGTGTCACTTTTGAGTTTTGACGTTGATCATCACTTGATTTAATGTTTAAAACTAATCGGTCTGGATTTAGATTAGGCTGAGTTGATTTCCCTTTGAAAGACGGAATAAGTTGAGTGAGCTCGGCCTGCATAAGGCGTAACACTCATCATCAGGTCTTGCTTTTACTGCTGTTACAGTTATTTCTTCACCAATTTTAGATTTGGTTTCTGGCAGCAAGGAGACTTTACCAGGTGGACTGTCTGTCAATAAGAAGAGAGTTGACCGAGGCCTGTCACAACTTAAGGTTTGAGTTGGTTGCTGCAAATTCAATATATTTCAGATTTTAACGTATCTAAACTAGACCCTTTTCTATTTATTTGAAAATCGTTGTGACGGTTATCCTTAATTTTGTGGGTCTCTATGCAGATTGAAGTTGTAGATTTAGTTTCTGAAGAATCTGGTGGAGATAAGCTAAGTTCAACAACATTAAGGAAGCTTGAGGCGGAGAAGGCCAAGAACCAACAGCCAACATAAACCAAGTTTATTTCCAAAAAATGTACTTGAAACCATGCAAGTGTAATGCGTCACATTTGAAGGCTTGAGGGTCATCAACGCTCATGGATCACTTCAGGACTTTCCCCAACATATATACTCTTCAGATTCTGCAACTGCAGATTGTGTTGTGTAGTAGAAGCCATTCGTTTTACTGCTAGTGTTTTGTCAACAGGAACATATCTGAGGTTATAACCGAGTTTATGAGTTCGGTCCTATCCTGGCTGTAGTTCTTTTGGAAGCCACTTTGGCTTGGTAGCTGAATCTTTACGGTGTTAGTAATTCACGTGTTATAATATGAGTTGACGACCTAAACGATTATGGAACTAAGTTATAGTATTGCTATAAAATTAGCACATTATAATATTAGTGAATTGTAACACCATGTGACGATATGACAGTCGTACTGAAAAACTTCTCATTACAACGAGAATAACAACTTTCAAAAAACTAATCTCACGCTGGTGGCATACCAAGTCGCACTACCAGTAATAACATCAACACATGACAATGAGTGACCGACTTAAACAAACGTCTTGGAGTTTCCCTCGTCAAGAAATCTTGTCCTTGGTTTGGCAATCCGAGCCTTAAAGTCAGTTAAATACAATCCGAGTCCCTTTCAAAATTAAATCAAACAAGGATGGATATGTTTAAGAAATAAATCAAATCATTAAGCCGTTTTCGCTAAATCCCATAAAATCATAAAAGAACCGTTTAACTAACCACATCCATAACCGCCTCGCCATCCACCGCCTTTCCAATTGTAAAAGAACTTAACGGCTACATATATCATCAACGGCAATTTGAAATTTAAGCGGTTACACAAAGAAACCCAATCCAAAAGATTGCGATCCCTCTCTCTCTCTCTCTCTCTCTCTCTCTCTCTCTCACTCATCCCCGCACCAAAAATAAAAAACCAGAAACCCCCACTGTCAAAATCGCAGTGACAGTGATAAGAAAGATAGTCGGCGGCTCGGCGGCGCTAGAAACAGAAACAGAGCACTCATATTTCTTCAAGGTTTTTCCCGAAATCCCACTTTCTGTAATTTTTTCGTTCCTTTTTCTCAATTCTTGTTTCTGGGTAGGCATCAATTATTTTTTCGTTCATTTTTCAAAGTTTTATCAAATGGTTTTTGTGTGTTTTCGTTATCTCTTCATGGGTTTTGGTTCTTAACTTTTTGATGATGAAGTTCGTTAATTTTCTGTGAAATTTAGATCTCTTGGAGCAACACAGAAGAAGAAGCGCTGTAATCTTGAGAAAAGATTCTGTTCTTGAATTTGAGAGGGTAAGATTAAAACTCAGGAAATCTTTCTTTGATTTCTTCGACTGGGCTTTCATTTTAAGTATTCCTTTGAGAAAGTTGAATTTTCTGGAATTTCTGCAGGTGGGTTTTGATTCTTTGCAAAGATGAATGATTTGATGACCAAATCTTTCTTAAGTTATGTGGAACTGAAGAAACAGGCGCAGAAGGACCTCGAAGCGGATCTTGATGTAGAAGCAGGCGCAGGCAAACTCAACCCGTCCGACCAAGAAAACCTCTCCCAGTTCTTCCAAGAAGTCGGAGCAATCAAGGCCGACATGGAAGAGATCACCAATCTCTTGCACGATCTCCAGAGCCTGAACGCAGAGGCAAAGTCCACTCACAGTGCCAAGATTCTCCGCGGTCTTAGAGACCGGATGGAATCTGACATGGTCGCAGTGCTTCGAAAAGCGAGGATTGTCAAGGCGAGGCTTGAGGCGCTTGATCAGTCAAATGCGACCAACAGAAAAATGTCCGATGCGTATAAGGAAGGAAGCACTGTGGACCGGACTAGAATGTCCATTACTGGTGGCTTGAGAGTCAAGCTAAGGGACCTTATGGACAATTTTCAATCTCTGAGAGAGAAGATTGTTTCGGATCATAAGGAAGATCTGAAGAGGAGGTACTACAGCGCAACGGGCGACTTGCCATCCGATGAGATGATCGAAAAGATAATTTCCGGAAGCTTGAAAGTTGAATTGTTCGAAGGGAAGACGGAACTGGATATTGGGAACAAAGTCCGACACGAGGCAGTGATGGATATCCAGAGAAGTCTGACAAAGCTTCATCAGGTGTTTCTCGACATGGCTGTTCTGGTTGAAGCACAAGGCGAAGACATTGAAAATATCGAAGACAATGTGGCGAATGCCAGTTATTTCATCAGTGGTGGCACAAACAGTCTTCACCATGCCAGCCAGATGAAGAAGAAGAACAAGAAGTGGGTTTACTGGGTGTGGGCTGTGGGCCTGATTATACTTCTGGTTTGCATTATTTCGATGTTTGCTTTGTGATTAGAACAGAGTCGGAATAATTTAGGGTTTAGGTCTGTGAATGCATGTCTTTACCGAGCTTTCTGAGCTCATAGACTCATAGAGTACTTCTCCTGATGCGTTTTGAGGTTCTGTTAATCGACAGAAATGTTAATGGGAAATGGATTTGAATTATTGATTTGAGCATTTGAAACTGTATTCTGGTGTTTTCCCCTGAATTGAATTCAGCTTTTAATCTCACAATATTTGGAGGGGGAGAGAGAGAGAGAGAGAGAGAGAGAGAGAGAGAGAGAGAGAGAGAGAACGACAAGATCACCGATCACGCCAAGGAAACATTATATTCAGAATGGCGGCATAGACAGGATCATCCATTATTCATAAGCTTTGCTTGTTTTGTAGCTTAAAAGCTTTCTATAACAATAAAGGACTCAAAGACAAAGACGATATGTTATTTTTACAAAATTGAATAACAGGAATCAGCCACTCTTCAATTAATGCTAAGATGTTGCGTAGCAATCCACGTATTACCAGGCTCTAGCTGTACGTTTCCAATCTGATATGGACATGAAGAGAGACAGATTATGTTTGAGTTAGAATCGGTATACATTTCATAATACATGAGGAAGAATATCTAAAAGTTGCTCAATATAAATAGCATCTCATTGCTGACTAATGATGGAAACGTATATCGAATGATGGGCATCTTAAGCTTAACAGAAAATAGAATCACTCAGTAGTCACTAGTTAGTCGAGTTCCCTGTCCAGATACGTCAGCATTTTTAGCATCCAATAGACAATTCCAATTTCGAGTTCCATACCTTTGCATTTTCAACACAAACAAAATCTTTGTAGCATGCTTCCATTGTCAGATATGGGTTCCACAAAACAGCATCTGTCCAACTACATAGAGAAAAAGGATAGAGGAGTCGAGCAAGTGAAACAGATGGAAAAGAATTTTACCAAACAAAATAAACTAAGATTTAGACTTACTTTGTGTTCTTGATAGATATTACATCACCTAAGCCATTATCAAGATGTAACTCATTAGGGGCATCCAGGTATACACAATCCACGAATCCAGGAAAAGTGATCCCATCCCTGTGTCATTAAGATAACAATCATAAATGCCTAGCAACAGGTCCTGCAAGATTTCAAAAAATAGTGCTGAAAAGCGAATAATCTATGACAAAAGCATTTTATACTGCTCCATCAAACCTTATTTACCCAACCAATAAACTGAAAAGGAAAGCATTGAATTCATGTCACTTTTTTCATGTGATAAACGCATGTAATGAAAATGATACAGGCCTTTCTTCCTTGCCCTCCAGTGGATTCTTGGGATCAGGATCTTTATTTAGTGTTTTGCAGCCTTTCAAACCTTTAACTGATGCCCCTTGTACAGCAGCCTTCATGATAAAGGTTAAATGTTAATGATACAATCATTTATCAAAGCCCATTTTACGTTATCAAATTCAAAATCTTTGCTGAGGATGTGATTCCTAGTATTTTCAGACTTTTGAAATATGAATAGCTCAATCATTTCCACCTCAAATTATCCCTCCACTCCACACTGCTAATAGGAGTTATGCCAGAATGATAACTGAACCCCTGAGCATAAAATAATTATACTTACCCGGAAGTATGTATGCAATGCGGTGCTGAATGAAAATGGCTTGCTGTCTGTATTTTTAATTACAAGTTCAGTGGAAAGGTTCTTTGTTTGCAAAGTGACCTGCAACCAGTGAAACACGTTAGAAGTTTTGTCCACTCCAGGTTATGGAAAATGAAATATCATAAGTGGGAGTCAATAAAATTACGACTGCAAAATTACCATTTATGCATGTGGCCTAACATAGTATTGTTGTGTAGCAGCTGTGCACGCCAAGGGGGCAGTGAGTTACAAGTGTGCACTAGACAATTATCATTTTCATAGAGGGATATGTGCAACTGACCTTGTACAAAGCTTGAAAGCTGAAATCCCACATTGAGCGACTGTATTCACCATCCTTTAGTTCTAAAGTTATGGTAGGATCTCCTTGCACATTTTCAGAATCAATGACGGACCAGTCCAGATTTCTTGCAAATCCGTGCTGTTAATTGAAGAAACATCTCCAAGCCTCAGAACAATAGCAAAAAACCGAATAATGCAGTCATGTATCATGCAGCCAGAACAAAAATCTGGATCTCCATACGAGAATCTTTGATGGAAGAAACAATGTCAATGGACTTACTACTACCATATCACATTAGGCAATGTGGTTATGTAACATTTATCAAGAAATCAATCAATCACCATTAAAATACAAACATCCATCAACTGCCATTCTCAGGTTTTAAGTGTTTAGGTTTCTAATTCTGGCACTCATCAAATTGAAGTATCTGATATCAATTCGTAACATTAAAGACAGAAAGAAGACGATGGTATAGAAATAAAATTAGAAGGTTGTACCTGCTGCATAGGGCCTGGTCCAAACTGTGGAAAACAATGTGGAACGCCTCCACTATCCCAAGAGAGAATAGTCAGTATCTTGAGGAAAATCCCAGCTTTCAGGCAACATGATTATTTAAAGTAACATGCTTAACAAACAAATCAAAGGAATTTCAGACCCTTTTGAAACATACACAACACAACGAAAAGAAACCAAATTTGATATTCCCAAAATAAACCAAGTAATTTTTTAATGATCATTTCAATTCTTCTCATTTTGGCAAGCATAACAAAGTTATTGACTGAAACTTAATCCCAAACGGCAACCAACTTATTTCCGAAAACCCGAAAAAGGAACCCAAGAAATCGAAAACAACCTGATTGGTTTCTTCTTGTTGAACACCGCATCAGGTCGAACAAAAAGCAGGTCCCTCCCATTTGGGACTTTCCAAGAAGTAATAACACCGCCATATAAATATACATCCGCCTCACTGCAAGCATCAAAATTCATCGACCCATTTCAAATTTCCAATAAAAAATTCAAAAAAAAAAAGAGTCAAAGTTCCGTTTCCAAATGCGAATTCAGCCACAACCCACAAAACCAACACAATGTACCTGCCGCCGGCGCTGGTCAAAACGACCTTGGGTAATTTCTCTTCTCCCTCTGCAAATTTCACCCCTGCAGTAACGCTCTCTTTGCTTCCGGCGCCGCTTGCAACAGCCATCACGGATGACGACGTTTTTGGCGTTGTTTGCCAAAACCTGCGTGTTTGTGTGATGTGAAATTTACAGGAAACCGAGCTGATGAAGACCGACTTGAGAGAGAGACATGAACTCACCGGTTGACTCGGCGGGAGTTGGGAGGAGTGAGGGTGGGGAGCGAAACGAGCATAGAAACCATCGCCATCGCCATCTTCTTCGTCGATTCGAGTGGGTTGGTTTGTGTGGTTCCCACTCCATATACACAAATCTTCTTCTGTGACTCAGTGACGGTTTGGTACCACGCCACCACCCGCCAAGCCCAGGGATCAAATATACAAATTCGGATATTCTTTTACTGGGTTTGGACCGATTCGATCCACTTATTATTCAGGCCCAACATGAAGTATCATTTAACCTGTTTCGTTTCACGTAAGGAGTCATCATTTTACGCAAAACTAGCAATAATGTGTTTTTAAAATGATCGAAAGCGTTTTAAAATCAATCTTTAATAAAAATACAAATGAGACAATTTTTCTAAAAGCATTTTCGAAAGACGGTAACAAATTACACATGTACGGCCTAAGCTCAAATCCGTTGTATCGAGAAAACATTCATTGGAGTTGTTGAAACCCGGTTTTGACGGGTCGGACTAACCCAAAATGATGACCCGAGATCTTTATTCGATGTTGCAAGACTCATGGGCCATTAAGAACAAGTATCAAGCCAGCAACAGCCCAACTTTTGGCCCCAACAGAATCGCAGGACAAAATCAGCAGCTAAGACTATCTTCAAAGAAGATGTCAAATTTTAAACATAAAATTTAAATTTGAAGGCCTATGTGGCAATTTGACATCTTTTAAAATTTTAGTCTCCACCCGATATGTCGAATTAAACTATTATTTTATTACATTATTTTCTTTTTATAAATTTTATTTTATATTTATATTTTACAAATATAAATAACTCCTACAATTTCAACAAAATAGTTGAAAATGCTTGTTTTTGTTGTTCCTCATGAGACCCCTCTTTTGAATTGAGTTGATGGTAGTTATGTGACTATTCAATCATGAGGGGATTTATGAGAATTTTCATTTGACTGGTTGCTATCACCTTTGCTGTGAATTATGGAATTGTAAGTTACTGCATAATAATATTTTGTTGTTGGTGGCAGAGATTCATGAAATGAACCAAAGAGAGTAACAGGGTTGGATCAAGTAAACGTTTGTGCTGCATTTGCGTCTGGTGTTGTTTCTGCGGCCGTTGGAAATGATGGTTCTTTGTGGGTTTGGGGAAAGTCGAAGCGCGGCCAGCTTGGTCTTGGAAATGATGGCCATTAGGAAGCATTACAGAATCCTTGGAGACGTCTCTACTGGAATCACGGGCAGGTTTGAGTAATAAGGAACTGTCAAGGTCAACTGCGGAAGCTGCGGAGAAGCTGGTTTTAGAAGGAATGGCGAAGGAGAGTGACATGCCGATAATATGGGAACCTAGTTTAGTGAGAGAACTACATTCTGTTGAAGTCGTAGACATTTTATGTGGTTTTGATCATTCATTAATTCTTTGTGGTAGGTAGTGTTGTGTGCATTGATATGCTTATGCAGAAATATATTATATTCCGGTCACAACATAGATGTAGATATTCATGTGCGGATGCTTGTTTCAGGTGATGGAACACTACTAAGTTGTGGGAGCAACGTCTATGGTCAGTTGGGCAGAGAAAAACAGGATTTGGGATTGTTCACTGTTGACATAAGCTTCCATCCCATGTCCATGGCATCAGGGCTTGGCCATTCTTTGGCAATTTGCCAGGTTACATGGGGTTGGAATCAAAGTTCTCAGCTTGGAAGAGGCGGATCGGAGAATATTCCATTGGTGGTTGAAGGACTGGAAGGGGAAATTCCTGTCTCAGTGTCAGGAGGGCGTGTCCATTCCATTGCTCTCACATCCAAGGGAGAAGTGTGGGATTGGGGTTGTGGTAAGAATGGAAGGCTTGGGTTAGGAAGCTCCTATGATGAAGCTGAACCGATTTTGCTCGACTCTGTAGAGGGTTGTCAAGTTTTACAAGCTGTGTCTGGATTTGATCATAATCTTGTCCTGGTTGCCGAATGATGTGCTTGACATAACGATCGTCATTGATTATTTCTGTGGTTTTGCTTAGGGATTGTCCTTTTCCGGGCTTCTATGTTCCAATGCATTTGTAAGTCTATCTAACCTTCCATTACGATATTGAGTATTCAGATCAAAGAGAAACAAAAAATGTAGATTGTTTTCCTTTGTCATAGTGGATTGTGAATGCGTATCTTCCAACTTCGATCCTTCGGTTTTTTAGGATGTTGTTACTTATTTCTGCATCTCCAAATTTCTTGATTCTACAGAACATGATATGTAAATATTTCTGTGTTGTGACAATGTAAATAAGGGTAGGGTATGGTTGTATAAAATGTTTCCAGTATAATTTGTTAAAACAATTATTACATGGTATGGTGTAATTTGTTACATATTTAGTCTCACACAAATTGATTAGTATTGATTGGTAATTGTTTGTGAACCCTCAAGAAACCTTCTGCAACTTTTGCAAGATATTGATATGAACCAGGATTTTCAGCAAGGCGGAAGATCCTTAGGCGGAGGCAGAACAGATTGATCCGATCCTGGTCCATCTTCTACGACGAAAGCTGTTTTCAGTCCCCAGCCAGTGTGAAGCTCCAAGTGACAGTGTATGAACCAAACGCCTAGACATTCAACGAGAAGCAAAGGTTATAGTAAGTAAATAACTGATACGTGGTCAGTAAATGTGGTGCATGTTAAAGTTATGTGATCATTCTACCTGGATTATCAGCTCTAAATCGAATGGCGGTCCAACCACCTGTGGGAACTCCAACTGTATTTCTCTCAACAGGATCAACCAAGTTGTACTTAGCAGGTTCCTTGGCAGGATCAAAATTCCCAATCCCATTTCCAACAACAAAGAAGTTGTATCCGTGGAGATGGAACGGATGCGACTCCACAGTTAGGAGATTCGTGTCTTGTAAAACCAGCTCAACTGTCGAATTGAAAGCAATCTTGCTCAGCCTAGTTCCAGTTGATGTCCCAAGATTGGCTGTGAGTGGTGCACCAGTGTAGTTGAATACAGTTGAAGGCCTATCTGGGAAGTCGGTTTTGAACACCCCTTTGAGATTGAAGTAATGTGCTTGCAGAAGCCCGACCTGAGGCATCTCGAAAGAGATGTTGTTCAAGGAAGCAACAAATCTTGTTCCGTTTATGCAACTAGGGCACGATTCTTTCCCGAAACCAATGGTGTAGAAGAGTTTCCGGTCGACTTTGAGAGGCACATTGGCCGGAAAGTTTGGACTGTTTAGGCTTCTGAGCTTCTTATTGTAGCTTAAAGCGAAGGACGTGTCATTAGGGTTAGGCAGTTGCGGAAGGCTTGGCAGGACGGTGTTCGGAACTCCTCTGTATTGGAAGATGGCTGTGGCTGTCTTGTTGTCGACGGGAACCGGAGCATCCATGAAAGGTCTGGCGGCCATGAAGTATCTGCCTGAAGCTTGATTGGCTTTGACCAAAACGTTTGTGGTCTGGCCTGGTGCGATTAGTATGGCTTGAGTAGTGAAGGGTTTGGTGTAAAGTGCATCAACCTCCACCACTGTCAGATTGTGTCCAGCAATGGCGAAGAAAAGTTCGTCGTTGAGAGCGGCATTGATGATTCTGAGGAGATAGGTCTTCCCTTGCTCAACCTCCATTGCAAAAGTATCTAAACGGAAGAGAGTATAACAAAATTGGAATTATAAATTTTGCAGTTGTGATCATATTGAAGCTGAAACTGTTGCTTCTGTTTGAAGCAATTCGTTTATTTTGGGGTTTGGAGTTAAGATATTTTGTCGTGCGTTTCTTTTAGCAGTCCAACTCTGTACGTAAAGGACGATTGGTCTTTCTTAAAGACACGACACGCTCAGAAAACTTAACGTTTTAGGATGAAAATCATCATATAGAACTTTGACTTTAGGTTTCTCGGCTCTATACATGATGTTCGGTCTTTCTTACAGACATGACGTGTTGAGAAAGCATTACCTCTAGTCAATGTTCTTATGCTTCGATCCTACGTATTGACATAGTTAACGTTTTTAGGGGGTGATCCATCACTAAGAGCTTAGAATTAAGGTTTCGAGCCTCGATTCTCGGCGTAGTTTTTGAAAGTAAGAACAATACTGATGAAGGGGTTTGCTTACGTTTCTCAGAGCAAGGAAACAATGGCCCTGGCTTCCCGTTGATAGTGTGAGCATCTGACGAGTTTGGTGGCAACCCCAAGCTGTTTGCTTTGTTGACAAAGGTTTCGACATCGACATTCCACCATTCGCCGAGAATAATCTTAGTTTCCCTGTATGGCTGTGCGAACGGGAATGGAGTTCCTTGTTTAGGCATGATGACAATTGCTCCATAGACTGTAGCCCTTAGCCAAAGAATGTGTGCATGCCACCACAGAGTTCCTCTTTGCCCTGTCACATTGAAGTCGTAAGTGTAGCTACTTCCGGTCTGGATCGGACATTGCGTCACATAAGCCGGTCCGTCTGCCCAACCGTTTCGATACTGCTTCAATCCATGCCTATAAGAACATGTATAATTCAGTGAGATACAATATACTATTTGGGAAACCGGTAAATACTTCTGCTACGAGAAAAAGGTTGTGATAAGAAATGCACAATTTTTTTGTGCTCACTAACTAGTTTGTTTGGTTAGTTTAGTTTAATTCTTACCAGTGAATGGACATGTTGTATTGAGCATGGTTTGTAACATTGATTTGAAGTCTGTCACCTTCTCGGACATAGATCGTAGGTCCCGGAAACCTTCCATTTACAGTAACAATCGGTTTTGCATGGCACAATCTGCTCACGTTCTTCACTTGGACCTGCAAAATCCCAAAGAGAATGTTATCGATTTGAAAACCATGAACGGAGTACTAGTTCTTCATTTTCTTCTTTCTTTCTTGTATGTTAATGCATGGGAACAACTCACAACTCACATCAAACTGGTATTTCTTGATGGCAGCTTCAGCAGGAGAAGTGATTAAGCCAAGAAACCCGAAGAAAATAAACACGAACGTGCACAGAAACCTGTTCCGGAGGCAGATGCTAGCCATTTCGATTCTCTCTTTTGATCCACTACTTCTTGATTGTTTACGTGAAGAGGTAATGAGGCATGAACACTAAGATGCCAAATATTTATATGAACGTGTTGAGGCAAAGACGTGCATTTTTTAAAGTATGTTAAGGAGCTTCTGGGTCAATTAATAATTAGGTAGGAACTGTGCTGGACATGAAACCTTGTACGCAAAATTTTGAAAGGGACTCGGGTCGTCTTCGACTGACTTCAGAAACCTCTGATTTGTAAAATGGATAATGTGCACCAACCAAAACCCTAAATGCAGTGGCAAGCTTTACCGTTGAGGGAAAGGTATAGCTTAAAGAATATGGTATCACAAAAGGGTCTCTTGTTGAGGAAAGGGATGTCACGATTTCCGAACGCATTGTTGTATGTAGTTTTTATCACTTACGTGACAGTTCATGATTGATTTGGGTTACTTACCGCATGACATACAATGGGCACGAGAAGTTGAGAAGTTTTTCATGAGTCTGACTATCGTATCGCCATGTAGTATTAACAATCTGCACATATAATAACGTGATGATCTACTTATTAATACTATGTTCTATGTTCATGACATATGACATATCAACCATGTCGTTTACTTGTATTATAATACGTGAATTAGTAACACCATTTGATAGTGCGCACTAAAATCTCCCGATGCCTCTTCTCTTTGTCATCCATGTGAAAGCTCTTTGCAAGGTGCCATCTCGGCAATGCAAATGCTTCACTTCTGCTATGCAATTCTTTTGTTGGGTCAAATGTCATTCTCCAGGAGTTGCTTATAGCTATGAGTTATGGTTGTGTAAATATATTTTCTGACTTTGGGGCTCTTTTTGTTAAGGGTACTTCAGATAGAGGTTTGCTCTTGCATTTAATTTTTGCCTACTCCTTAAAGAAAAAACAAATGAAGTATAAATACACAGGGACGTAACCAGGATTTGAAGATCGAGTAGGCTGTAAGTTAATTATACTTCTCAAGTAGGCACCTTATATAAAAGTATCAAATCTCATGTAGTTTGGTTCCATTTAAATTTACGATGATCTTATTTAATGTGAGAGTTATCCTAATTAGATAGTTTTATCGAAATTTCTATCCTATAAGAGAACGTTGTAGGTTTAAATATGATCTTTGCCAAATAGAATAAGTCCATGTGGACCCTACAATGGTAAGAATGACAGAGTATATTCACTGCATCCACTTAGGTTTAGCACGCCCCCCATCGAAGGAAGAGTACAAAACACAGGGCAAGCAGCACCTACACTCTTCAAATAACCAGTCTGATATGAGGTTTGGTGGTTCGTCAAACCAGTTACAATTTGAACCAGCAAGAAGAGCGTAGCGCGCTAGAAGATGGGCTATGCCGTTGACACAATTATGATGGTCTTTTCTACAATGCAGCAAACAATGAGGAGCCAGTAGCCAACTTGGACATTATGCAAGTCCGACGATATAATATGATAAGATAATACGATTAGTCACACGTGATAGATTGACGATTGTTGACGTATGTGATTTTGAGCCCTACGGTAAGAAATATTCACTTGGAAATGAATTTAATGAATTTAGAATGCTTGATCATCATATGGAAATATTGAACCAAACTTAACTCATGCTAATGAGTGCCTAACCAGAAAACATGAGGGCAAAAAATCACTATAAAAAAGTAAAAAAGAAAACAGTTAAACCATCAACAACAATATGTGACAAATTGAAAAACTATGTGGTTTGTCCTTTTTTATTTAGACTTAAAATTTAGCGCAAAAAATAAAGGTAATTCTCTCATTTTGTGAGAGAGCTTCTCTCCTTCTATAAGAGGTTCTTTCCCTCTTTTTGGTGAGGGTTTCCAGCTTGACCACAATCTCAAGCGCCGACTCTAGCTTCGGATGAAGTCAGTTGCCCCTTCTCCCTTTCTTTTGTTTTCTTCTCTTTTCCCCTTCTCTGCCGTGTCTTCTCTCCTCTTTTCTTCTTTTTATTTTCTTTTCGCTTCTTCTGATGTTCCTCCCTAATTTTTCCTCTGGCATGCCCGGTTCTTCTATTCCCATCGGTATCCCTCTCCCCATCTCTTACTGAGTCCGATCTTCAGCCACTATATTTTCTCTTGAGCTCGTGCGTAGAGCTGGGATGTTTTCCTTGGTTCGGGTGTTTCCAACACC